TACCGTTGTCCAAGTGTTTGAAAGAGAATGATGCTTTGGTCATACGTGTATGGCGAACAAGCCTTGGTCACTTCCTTTAAGGAGCAAAGTGCAGGGCAGCTCGGGCACTGTTGAACCTTGGTGTTCCTCGTGGGGTTACGTCTGGTGGAGGGAAGATATCTTGCGTGTCTTTGGATCAGAAGGGAAAATGCAAAATCTAGCAGCACTCACTGTTTTGGATAGGGTCATCTGTCACTTCTACCAGAGAAGGATGGTTTCATGAGAGTTTGGGAGTTTGTTATAGCTGTAGGGTGTCGTGTGAATCCCGTCTTTGGTCAGAAGGACGTGTGAAAAGGTGCGTTTGCATTGCAGGCTTCTGGCAGGGATTGAAATTTGGTCAAAGAGGAAATTCTTGCAAGGGAAATCTTAAGTACCCACCCTGCAGTGAGCAAGGGAGCCCGCGTTGCCAGGTAGTGGTGCTATTAATGGCTTTCTGATAGTCTTTTTCCTGGAAATGATTAATAAGCAGCATATTGGTGTGCCCTTGCCATGATGATGTAATTATAGACTTCTTGTAGTATCCAGGAAAAGTTTCCCTTGTGAGTTGACTGACAGATTGAGTAAAAGCTTTCATTTCCAGTGGCCTCCCTGGCGTTACTTTTAGTTTTCACCATTCTCAGGTCAGCTTAGAAAAACAGGTATTTGATTTTGTGAAGTTTTAATTAGCAGTTTCTGATAACAGTTTTAGGTCCTCTGACATGTGAGATACTCTGCAGATGTTCTGAAAAAAGATCTTTCTTCTCTGAATGCTGATGGATATTGAATGCAAACCGTGCTCTGCACATGAACTTTCATAGCACAACACCGGGGTCTCCTGGCAATGTGCTTCAGCCGTCTGGCATATAGCTCAACCACTGCAATAAAAACTTTTGACAAAGTTTTCCTTGGGGTAATGGGTTAATGTAGTTTCAGTCATAGGAAATGGTGCAATTTCTCCTCCTTCCCTTCTTTTAGTCAGTACCGTGAATCAATTTGTCATCTGGTCAAGGATCTGGAAGAATAATTAGTTGTGTTTTACTGAATAGCCCTGGCGGGATGAAGACTTGGCCAGGCTGACGGCGTGATGTCACTAGGTGCAGCGCCGTTACCACCCATCGCTTTACGATAGCCAGCTCTTTCCATCCAA